GCGATGGGGGCGATTGCGGGTGCGGGTGCAATGTATGCAGTTTGCAGCATGTAAACACTTGAGAGGGCGCCAATTATGCATCTGTTGAGTATTGAGACAGGCAGGTTGAGGACTTGAATTGTTTCAGGCTCGACGGGCGAATCTGACTCTTCTTCTTCATCGCGCGGCGACATGAGCATATCTATATGTGTTAGTGCGGCAAATCTAGCTTTCTGTTCTGCTTTAGGTGTACTGTGAAAGGTTACAGGGATGTTACCCCTAGGCACGTCTATGGATGTGAAATCATCGAGTGATTCTTCCTTGATTGATTCTTTGGGCGAAGATGTGATAGGCAATGGTTGTCGTTTGTTTGCACAGCCGAAAAACGAAAGTCCTGGATGCAGTGCGTCAACAGTGGATTCTTCTGTGGGTGGTATGGTAGCGAAAAGTGAACTGTCGGGTAGTTCTTCTATGGCTTCATCGATGCGCGTGATAATATGCACGCGAAATAACTGATGCGCGTTGGGTCTGAGTACTCTATCAGATGTCGCAGTAGTGCCCCTCGCGGTGGGCTCCAGTTGAAGATGAGGAATCTAAACTGTGGGGAAAGTTGGTGCTAAGCTAAACAAACACAGATAGACCTGGGCGCAAGTGAAATCGTCATCCCAAGGGCAGCTAACTGAGTAAAGGGAAACCTCTCTTTGTAAAAAGAGGGACACCAAACAACTAATAAAGTACTAAGGCTAAGTAATGCGTGAAGCGGGCTGAAATGATGTGATGTGCAAAAGGCGAACATGCAAGTGTGATAGGCAATGGACGAGGTGTGCAACGCAAAGGTAGCATGCGCGAGCAAAGGTGAGAGACTAGCGAGAGAGAGTAACAAAGGAAAGATGAAGCGAGACGAGTGTTAACACCCCAACTAAGGTTGGCTGATGCTAAGATGGAGATTGAGAACTGAAGCGCGTGACTTTAGATAGTCACTTGCAAACAACGAGTAAAATTCTTAGTATCTAGAGACACACACTGCAGGCATTAACTCATTTTCCTTCACCAAACATCCAAAAAAAATTGAATTGAAAGATAGAAATTTACTTATATTTTACCCGTCAAAACATTGAAAAATTTTAATCAATGTATCAAATATTTTCTGTATGTGGGACATGATCCAAAAATTAGTCATGTTCCTTCGAGAAAGACACTACATTTTCCATTCATTGTCTTTCAAATAACAACTTACAATCACGTTAATTATTTTGTCTGTGTTTTTCAAATGTTTTGTGTGTCAATAGTCAAAATTATTTCATTCCATTCACTTCATGTTTGAGCCAAGAACATTAATAAAAAACAGAACAGATCATATCATGTATTTAACAAATGTTTTGTCTTAGAAAAATGAAGAAAGCTTTAAAAGTTTCTTTGCATATTTGTTGATAGGACATTTGTGAGACATTTTTCATGTTTTGTTAAATTAAATAAATGATGGTTCCAGGATATTCCTCCTGAGCAACATCCAATTAACATTTACAATTTTCTGTGCACAAAAAAATAAAATGTATGCTGTATGTTCCTCCTAAGAACATGCACATCTGTAGCAGGTATTTGGTTCATCAGGAAAACCCCAACTTGTTCAAATTCAACTTGAATGAGGGAGTGTAATTAAAACACGCTAAACTCAAGGTTCTCAAACCACTGCATGGCTAGCGCTTCAAGTTGTCTTAAACACTACTACAAAATCGACTAAAAATCACAATTAAGCCTTGAATCAAAAGGACTAAGATGGCAGCCTCGAATCTTCTTGAGCCCTGACCAGTGGACAAGAGAACTGAGACAGCCTTGAAGCCTCAAATCTTCTTAAGCCCCGGCCAGTGGACGAGGGTGAGAAACAAAGGACTGAGATGGCAGCCTCAAATGTTTTTAAGCCCCGACTGGTGAACAAAAGGACTGAGGCAGCCTTGAAGCCTCAAATCTACTTAAGCCCTGGCCAGTGGATGAGAGGACTGAGACAGCAAGCCTCAAATCTTCTTAAGCCCCAGCCAGTGGACGAGGGTGAGAAACAGTGAACAGGATGATGCTGTGAGCTATGGGAAAGTGATGTTTCTTGGTGGAAAAAATGAGTCAGGGCTGGAGTTAGAATTGGTACAGCGGCTCTTACATGAGTTTAGCACAATGAGAGGCGCATATATAATGGCAATGGGAGAATTGTGTTGACTTGAGCATAGGGTCGACAGCATGAGTCGATAGTTGTAGGGTATGCAAGCAAGGCATAAAAAACTGTCCGCAAAATGTAACAATAAGATTACAATGATAGTCGAGAGCAATACAGGAAGTTGGGACTCACCTATGGGACCAGTGGCACTGGATTGGTTGGATACACTGACGCTGATGGTGACATCCGTTTTTGTGTTGAGGACGGCTCCATGCGCTGGCCGCATTGATAGAACACTGCGTAGATACTATCAATTAACTTAAAGAAGGAGACTAAACTAACATTGAGTAGATACATGTAATCTTTGCTGGCAGTCATTGATATCAGTAGTGCTTTCAGTCTCTTGACGGGAATGCAACTGCCAATTCGTTATCTAGAGAGATGAGTGAGCGCAGTGAGACAGAACAAAGAAATTTACTCTGAAGCACGCTTGCGTGACTCAAACATATCGGACATTTGGAGGAGTTGGGTGCAATGTGAAATGAAGTCATAGCATATCCATAGGACTAAGCAGAATTGTTAGATCAAAAGAAACCGGAGTAGATGAAAAACAGTTTACTGTTTGACACTGATACACATCAATGACGATAGCTGCACGAGAGCCAGGTTTTGGAGTCTCAGAAGAAATAAGAGATTCGTACTCTTGTGTGCCAAATTCATATACAGTTCCTAGCAAAAAAATTTGCATACATTTGCGAGTCGTCATTTGAGAGGGAGTGTTGGAAGTTGGTACAAACAATGATAATCGTTAATGTCGCACGTGACAGCTTACTTACATAATCACGCTCATTTCATTTTCTGTTCTTCGTACTACCGTGACTTGATACCTCCTAGTTGCTTGTATAGGTGAGATACATTTGTCCATTGACTATTTACTTAACTAATACTCTTATATATAGTTTATGTCTTCTATGCCCTCTTGATGGCACGACTTTCTTTGTCCACTCTGTCTTGTCATGTTTGTAAGAACGAGGAACTTGAAGGAAGAGAGTCCCAGGGATGCTTTGCCTCAATGAAGCTGATGTGAGTTCAATCATTTCATTTTTAATAAATACAAACAAGGGCTCTGTTGATGAGAACAGGTTTCCTGAGGATACAAAGATCTGGAATTGCAAACTTCTTGATGGCACAACTTGCTTTGTCTACTCCGTCTTGTCATCCACTCATGGCACGCTAAGGGTAGAGCATTGAAGCTGTTAACAGACAAGTCAGCGCTTCAGCAGCAATTGATGTTTGTGCATGTGACGCGGCATCCATCTACTCCTTGTTGTCAGTCGCCTTTTTAAATGTTCTCGGTGTGTATCTCATAATCTGTGGTTAGCTCTTTGACTCATCTGGTCTATCATAGTCATCAGTCATGTCAATTCTGGTAAATCTACCACCACCAGTCACTTGAAGTTGACCTGTGCAGTGGCATCGACAAGTGTATTATCAAAACATTTGGGAAGGGAGCTGCTGAGCTTGGCAAGGGTTTTAAATATGGTGAGTGAATGCAACCGCCCATACTGACTTGCTTGCTTATTCCCTCTAAAGTCACTGACAATGAGTCCTTTGGTTCCTCAGCTTTGTATCACTCACTAGCATCGATACTCTCTGGAAGTTCGAGACCCCCAAGTACATGGTTACCATCTGACAACTTTCCGAGTAGCTGTATGCTCAGGTCAGCATCCTCAATCACCCTGGTGAGATTGGTGCTGGTTACACTCCACCGCCCATACTGACTTCCTTGCTTGTTCCCTCTAAAGTCACTGATGACGAGTCCTTAGCTTCCTCGGCTTCGTATCACTCACTAGCATTGATACTCTGTGGAAGTTTGAGGCCCCCAAGTACAGGGCACTGTGGTTTCTCCAAGGACGCGATTAGTGATGTGTATGAGCTATTCTCATCATTGACAGGGGTACTGGGTTGGATACATTCCTGTGACTATCAAATATCTACTACAGATCATCCTCTTCATTGTCCTCTGTGTTCGCACCACTATCATTTGTGACATACATGTCCTAGTGAAAGTTGGTGACTCGATGATGTATACTTAGCTTAAATGAACATAGCTGACCTTCATAATGGGAAGTATGTGGACCACCTTGCCCAAGGTGTGGTATTCAAACGTCGTACGTGCAAACAAAGTGACAAGTGCTTCATATGCAATGATTTTGGGGGGGTGGTAATAATCAAGGAAAAGCCCTTCAGCAACACTGAATCCAAACTGTTGGTAGGGGTCCTGTTTTACCTTGACCGAGTCCAGTTCCACCATGCGCTCGATGAGCAATGAAGATTTCTTGGGTTGCAATTTCTCGCTAAAGATAGCCAGAAGATGAGCAGGCACCTGGTTGAAGTCAGGATTCTGAATAACAACATTGGAGTCCTGCAGTGACCTAGAGTATGGTTGGTACAGTGCTCCTCCTTTCCAAAGTTTACTGCCAAACACAATGTCTAACATATTTTAGAGTGCAGCCACTAAAGATGAAGGAAGTATACCTGAATGGTGTGTGCCCGTCAAGGTCGTTATGCCTTTGGCAAAATACTTTTGCAATTCTGTGAACTTCCCCTTTGGTTTGGAAGATAGATAAGTCACCTTCAGTCGGCCTGAGCTGCCAAATGCAAGGCTATCATTGAGGTGAGTCCTGCAAATGTCTGAACAGAATGTCTTCTGATACTCCGGCCACAGTGACATCATAGTATTGGGGAGCCTGTTACTAGATAGAAGGGCGGGCAAGTTTGCCGCCCTGCAAGTGTCATTTATGAATGTCATTTCCATTTCACCTGTAAGCATCAAGGCATTAAGGCTTGTGAATGGAAAACCAAATGGGTGTTTCTCACCAAACCTTGAGTTAGTCTTTATATTCTGAAGGGTGTAATTAAACCTCTCAAATGCCCATGCCCACCAAGAGTGGACTGGTCCAAAAGCTTTGAGCAGCATTTCATAGTGGAAAGCCATATGATGGACAGGTCGGATCTGTGCTTCCTTGTAAAGCTTAAGTACACTGCGAAAGCATTCCTTGTAATGAAAGGAATATAGGTTGATCTTATCCTTTGACATGCTCCGCATGTTTGTGATATGGATAGTGGTGACGAGGTGCATGTAGTTGTGCAGTACCTCTTGCATTCAGCCTTCCTCATGACCCCAAAGGAAAATCAGTGTGACGATAAGGTGTATCAAACCTATTGAGTGCCAGTGATCAGCAGTAGGTGTCCTTTTCTCAGCTGCAACCAAAGGGGCTGCTGTGACGAATGATGGAAGCTGCGTCCGCGCTTGATCCATCCATATTTCCTGTAACACCTCCCGCCCAAGTACAACAGTATTTTTTGGCGGCAGGGCTTCATGAGTTTGCATCCCCCTCTTGGCATGCAGCAGGCTGCCATCCTCATTCATTAAGCCATGTGAAAAGCGCTGTTCAAAATGAAAAGGTCATTGATGGAAACAACAACTCCCATGACGTACCCAATCAGCTAGTTGTTCTAACAACCCACCCTTACGTAGAGGGTGTCCAGGGCGGAGATGATTATTAGTAGAGATACCTAGCTTCGTGCAAAGCTGTACAAGTGCTAACACCCTGACACCTTGTCTAATAGCTGCAGTGCTCTGAGAATTCTCTAGCTTGAAGCACGCTTTAGTCATCTCCTGTTTGGACAGAGGGTTGTTCTTTGCTCTTCTCTTTAGTAACTGAGGTGCTGTCTCTGATGCCTACACATAATTAGTGCGCAGATCCTGCTGAGTGATGACATTAAGAAACCTTTAATTCAGAGAAAAACTTATGAAGTTGGTTTATCTTGGCAAAGTTATTGCTTTGTTGACGCTGAACCAGAGTGAAATTAATCATGATAACGGTACAGCATGTGACGCACAAATTGAATGAGTGCCCTAGCCATCAATAGTGCAGTTTGTGCTCGCTGCAAGCCCAGTTCTTGACACAGGTAGAATGATACTGGCTTCTGGCAGCACAATAAGGCTTGTTCATGAGTTTTATCCATGTTTCCTTTGATCAGCACGCATAGACCAGATGCAAGTGCCGAATTTGAAGGCCGTGCAGGGCAAGGTAATGGCGTGCAGATATTGTGGATGTGGTGGTGTAGCTTGAGGAGAAAGTCTGCATGCATGGAATTGAGAACGGTGAAGAGAACTGGGTTCCAATACGGCAGACAAAGTAGCTCCGAGTACCGCACCCCGTAGCGGTCCACTATTTCCTTTCATTCCTCCGCCGTTTGTGCATCACACCATATGTCTGCAACCTGCCTGTGCTCTTCACAGGATCGCATCGGCCATTTGTTCAATGGCAGTTCTTCAATGTGATCCTTCATTAGAAGGCAGTACGAACAGAAGAGGTTGCTCGTAGATCTGGAAAAGCTGCCAACTTGTCGAGCACCTATGATATCACAAACCAAGGGAATCACCACCAATCAACAAGAATGGCCAGAAGGGTACAGAGAAGTGCGTGTGAAGAAGAAGCCTGGATCCCATGCTAGCAAGAGATCATCAATAAGTGGCGCGAGTCCTTCATTGATCTGTTCGAGAGAAGGCTTGTTTGGACCAGGTAGTATGCCAACCAAGTACATGTTCTCAGGGTGGTAGTGGAGGTCGACAGGTAAATTCAAGCACACCATGTATATTCCTGTGGATGAAGCACTCCCCTTCCCAATCTTCATACCCGATGGATTAAATCCGTCAACCCCAAGAGAAAACACAAGGTGTAACTCTCCAGATGGTCCACACAGTGAAAGGTTTGCCATCCAGCCCTTGAAAACTCTGTAGAACCCCTGCATCCCAAATGTTGTGGTGCTCTTCATCTGCTACCTTAACGTCCGTCATTGAGCGCCGCTCTAGCTTGCTTTCGATATCCGAGCGAGATAAAAATCTCCCCAGCCACTGCTTCATGTCCTGATACAAGTACTTCTTTATAGGGCATACAAAAGCAGTTCCCCATATTATGCAGGTGCATTTCAGTTTTGCAGAGCATTGTGAGGCGCCAGGGAGCGACAAGTGAGTGTAATGTTCAGGGCACACATTGCCGTTGCTATCATATAGCTTAAAGCAGGATGGGCATGTGATGTAAGATATGCATTTTGGATCCAAGTGAACTTGTTTCAGCAGCGTGCAAGAGTCCTGCGGTAGGTCAGCCAAGAGCACAGCTTTGGATGGTGATATATCGGTATCAACAACAAGCCATCAAATAATGAAGTGCAGTGTTACGAGTGTGAAGTTGCACTTCTCACGTGATAAGCTGCAGAGCAGGGAAAGTATCAAGACCAAGAAGTAGCTGGCTAACATGGCAGGATGGCTTTCATACTGACAAAAATATATATCTGGTCATTTATCAGAAAATGATTTTAAAACAACAATCAGTAAGCTTACCTGTGTTGATCATGGAGCCCCTTCAGTGACAAATTCCATATTATACGGGTCACCCCCAACCTACATAATATCCTGTATAAGACGGGCCAGCGGACTATGGGCCGATGTGATGTATATCCCTGATGTTGATGGATGGGCTGGGGGGAATATTATTTCCGATGGAGATGGGTAGGCCCATCTATGCCAATGTTATATATATGCTCAATGATGTCGGATGGGCCGGGATGAATATTTTTACCAATGGAGATGGGTGGGCCCATCCGGGGAATATGTACAGTAGGATGGACATACATATTATAGACAGCTAGGCTGAAGGGAGATGAGAGGCAATCATTATTATATAGATGGGTAGGCCGATGTAAAGGTACATTGTATAGACGGGTGGGCCAATGTATAGGAATCATGTTGTAGACAGGTGGGCTGAGAAAGTGGTGGAATATTTATTATATAGACAGGTGGGCCGAGGTCATTGTGAATTGTACAGACGGGTGGGCCGAGCGAGCAGTAAAACATTTATTATATCGACGGGTGGGCTGAGAGTGCAGGAAATTATTTATGATATAGACTGGTGGGCTGACAAGGTGCCGATGTGATGTATATCCTCGATGTTGATGGATGGGCCGGGAGGGATATTATTTCTGATGGAGGGGGGTGGGCCCATGTGTGGAATATGTAGAGTATATGAGTGGGCCAATGGACATGAATATTCTATAGACGGATGGGCCGAGGTAGTTGGATATTATGTAGATGGGTGTACCAAGGTAGGTGGGTATCAGAGAGACGGGTATGCCGAGGGTACTTGTCATCACATACACGAGTGGGCCCAGATATATACTATATTAGATGGGTGGGCCGGCTGAGGGTACATTGTGTCACATACACGAGTGGGCCCAGATATATATTATCTTAGATGGGTGGGCCGAGTGTCAAGGTAGGTGGGTATCAGATAGACGGGTGGGCCCAGGGATATATTATATTAGATGGGTGGGCCGAGGGCGGTATATAATATAGACAGGTGGGCACAGGTGAATGATAATTGTAAAACAATGCAGTACCGATTGCTGAGTAGCTAATTTGGGTGAAGCGTAATGAGTTCCTGCAGCTGCATGTTCATTACTGTTGCATTGCTGTATGAGAAGCAAGGTTCCGACTACCAAAATTCGAGTGAAGTGTACCAAGTTCCGAGACCCGGGTGTCAATAAACAAATATCTGATATCCAGCACACTTCCAATGATCGGGTATTTCATTGAGCAATGGGTGGTAATATATCTTCGACAGCCAACATCATGGAAGGTTCTCTTATCAGAACCTCATGTTCACCACCTACCGAACGCCAAATGCCAAGTTCCGACTACCGAAATTTGAGTGAAGCGTGCCAAGATCCGAGCCCCGGGAGTCGACAAACGAATATCTGATATCCAGCACACTTCCAATGATCTGGTATTTTGGCTCCCTTATCTGATCCTGACTATCTCCACCCCCTTTAACACCAACCTCTGGGCGACCAGCATTCAGCTTCTGATTTCCCAAGATCGACTTCATCATGAATGGTTCTTCCACTTCTGCAATTGAAATAAGCCTCTGGCGCACTTGGGCCCTGACAGTGACTCACGAGGCATGTGAATATACTGCACAGAAATTCAATGCAGAGAAGACAGGAGGAGACCCAGTGATACCTTCTCCTAACCTAGACACTGATCTAGTAATGGCCTGCGATCGATTGGTAGATCGCCTCATAAAGGCATATAAAAATCTGAGTGGGTCTTCCTGCAGATTCGGAAAATTCATTTGATCATTCAAACTCCTTCATCACAGTTCAGATGAACATCGACATTGCAAGATATAGCAAATTGATCTCCATGTGTGATATACATTGTTACTCAATATATATTAAATACCAAATGGTAACCACAGAAGGAAATTTGGGCAGCCACCGACTTGCTGTCTCCGAGTCTGGAAAGAAGTGTGAAGGTTGATGGGAATTGGCGAACCAATCCGGAGTGGTTCAAACACCACTTGGAAGATGTTGGCCTACCTGCCGGGTGCATTAATTTATCTCCGGCATGGTTTCAACAGGGGCACGAGGTAAGATTTGATAGGATGATGATTTCGGTAGTTGAGCACACCAATCCCATAGAATCTAGCGGACCCGGAGGTATCTGCATCATTAAAGGGACCATTGTCCGAGGGAATCCTAAACGCCATTGCAAGGCCGGCAGCCATCGCATCAGCAGCGCTCAGGATCATGCATCCGGAGCAGTACTGGGCAGGGTTACAAACATTTTCAAGCCTCGGAGAAAAGGCAGAAAGCAAGGAACTGCCAAGAATGTCCAAGATCCTGGAGTACTGGGCATCTGTGTTTAACACGCTATCCATCATTTCCAATGTCAAACCCCATATCATCGAGACCATTTATCAATTCCTGAATGCTTCAATATTCTCACCACCGTGGGGAATTATTCTAATGCTCGGATGAGCATGCCAAGCCTTCAGCTGGAGTTCGGGTACAATCCCGGGTGTATGATTGGATTTTCCGGAAGGATTGTCAGACATGGGGTTCATGAGATGGAGGGGGATAGGGTTGGGTGGGCATGGTATATGAGGGACTCTGTTCATATTTATGCCGGGGTTCCCTCATGCGGATGGGCTAGGGTGTATTGACGAACCCTACCACCATGTGGAAGATGAAACAAGTAGAAAGTGTAATTACCCGCATCAGTACCTGCTTTCGACTACCAAGTACGAACCATCTCTCTTGATGACACTCAAGGTCCGAAATCCATAGCGGATGCATACAATAACTGTCCAGAGCCTTCCATGTCTCTTGATGACACTCGAGAACCAACACATTCAGCGTGAGGGAGTGGGGTTTCAGTTGTGGTGCGCAGTTACAAAAGGCCGGCCCTGGGTTGGAGTAGCGCAGACAATATCATTGACCTTACGCTAGGCAATGCTAAGAAGAACGGTCTGTTGCAAAAGGAACCTACAAGTCAAAAGGGCACAGAGAAGCAAAGAAATGTAAGTATGAATGCTGCTGTACAAATTTGAAAATGGTACTGGGGCGATGGCTATCATTGTATTTAGACTCAGATCCTATCGACAGTCATCAAGGCCAGGAGCTCGGTAACCAGGTCTCAGCACTTGGGTCTTGATATTTGGACCTCGGTAGTTAAATGCCGGGAGTCGGGAATTGGTAATGGAGATCTGGAACTCAAAGTTCGATATTCGGCAGTCAACATTCAGTACTCGATGCTTGGACCTCAGAACTCGATATTTGGAGCTCAGTAATCGGGTCTCGGCACTCGGGTGTTGATACTCAGACCTTGGTAGTTATGTTCTGGGAGTCGGGAATTGGTAATGGGGAATCCGGAACTCGGAGTTCGATATTCGGCAGTAAACATTTGGTACTCGATGTTTCGGAACTGGGTAATCGGGACTCAATATCTGGAACTTGGAGTTCGATATTCGGCAGTCGGCATTCGGTACTCGACACTCGGTACTCAATGTTCAGAACTCGAAACTCAATATTCGGAGTTCGGTAATGGGGTCCTGGTAATCGGGACTTGATATCTGGACCTTGGTGGTCAGGACATGGTGATGCACATCTGCACCGTTTATTTTGGGACTCGCCATATAACATCATGTTAGATATTGCAATGTTTACATGCGATTTTCAGTACTCATAAAACACATATGCAACTTGCACTTTAACATTTCCAACTGAGTGACTAGAGCTACTCTCCTCTGCCTCTCTTCAATCTGTCCAGCATGGCAGTGTAGATTTGTATCTCTGCCATCTTGTCACGGATGCCCTCACGTTGCTCTTCAAGTAATGTCAGGAGGTGTTCTCTAATCCACCTCAGTCCCATCAGTGATGGAACTGAGGTATGATCCACCTGCTCCGGAATTGTCAGACCATCATTCTCAATGCCATCCTAGAGCAGATCAGTCATGAATCAAGGAAATGGAATAAGAATCTTACTAGCCAATGCTGGTAGTGAAAGATACAGCAAGTCATCACCCGATCCCATTGCCATGGTTCGTTCGGAATTGCAGTTTCTCCCATCCACCATGGGGTATCATAGCTGGATATGATCCAGGATGGATCTCCGGGATCTGCGACATCATGAAACAAACAGATGTGATAGGAAAAGATGTGATCTGGAACCATGTTCCAGGTGTGACCGGGAATCAAATAAAGAATATGAGCAATAGGGCTGGGAACGACCGAGATGATGTTCCTGGTAGCTGAGTACTGGAGGATGGGCATGACAAAAGTCTGTGGAAGATGTCAGCATTAACCGCCAGTGTCATCAGGGTCTTACAGTGATCTCCCATTGCAGCCTGGCTTTGAAGTGCCTGATCTAAGCCAAAGGGGGAAGATTGTTGTTTGCAGCCTCCACCTGATATTGGGAGATGGATGCACGGATGCGCGATGCAGACATCGACATAGTAGTTGAAATGTCTGCAGGAGTGAGAGTGAGGGGCTGGTACTCATTGAGGGAATTCTGATTGTCAGAAGTGGATGCAGGAGAAGGATGTAACTCAGGCATGGCTGATGCAGGAGTATCACACTGGCAATGACAATGATGGTTGGTTCAGATGTGAAGATATCATCCACTGATGGATGGATAAATTTTTCAAACTCTGACATGGGCTGACCCGGCCAATTCCCGGGACTAAATTTGTATATCGAAATGGTTGTTATATCCCATCGGCAATAAACCATTCATTCATCTCGGGAATCTATCAAAATGGTCTGCAGGTGTTGAAATGCTGCCTGGGCATCCTGCGCCAGCAATGAATACATTCGGGATTGCCTTCCGGAGTAGCATGCATGACCCGGAAGTCGTTTCGTGAATGATTCCTGCATCCGGTCGCCCCATTGGGTTGCTTTCCACAAGAAAAAGTTACATGTCCAATCCATCTCGAATTGGACCAACATCAGCTCTTCCTTCCATCGATCCCGTAGTGCCTTTGCCCGGAGCCAGTGAACTCGGTAAACTTCATATTCATCCAGTCAGCTCAACGTCGGATGTGTTGAGCATTAGGGAACTCACATTCCTCATTCCATGATTGATCCGGACCATGCATGTCAACCTCGATGGACCAGAACCAGGGATTCATTTTGTTGACCACGGGCATTCGGATCACCCACGGCAGTGTTGACTTTGAGCTGCTCACGAAGCAGGGGTTTGTACTTCTGAAGTTGGCCATGCCCCGTGTCAAGTTTCATCATTTGCGTCCTGGTCTTGGTATATATACTCACATGCAGGGAGACAGCCTGCTGCACTGACATCACCTGCGACCAGGCTCGAGTTTTCAGGGCTTGAGATTTGGCTTGCCTGACCGTCGTTCGGAATAGGACTGCCTTGTTGCACAAGTGAATGTGGAGATTGTGAAGTGCATCATTTGCCTGCCCTTTGCGAAGGGACATCTCCAGCGGAATGAGATCCTCTGCCATCAAGCATCTGCATCGATCTACCCCGAGGTTTGATGGCAATGGGATCACAATGAGCTTGGGCAAGTTCATCCATGTATCAGATGTCTCGGTAAAATCTTCCAGGTCATCATCGAGATCATCTAGGATGTCTACGTTCAAGTCGTCATGATTATCATCTCCATCGAATCCCTCTCCGAGATGCGTGACAGCAGAACGCGTGAATCCATCTATCTGGCCTTGGAGACGATCTTGTTGCCGGGTGAGGTCTAATCTCTGTGTCTCCATAGTTCATTTTCCGATTCTTCAGACCTCAACGAGCAATGCAATTTGAGCCTCCTCGATTGCCAACCCCATAGATATCCATGTCGCCACAGATCTCCGAGATGGTGCTGCATTACGGGCATTACCCTGCTCTAGCAGTCTAAGTTCGATCTCCTTTTTGCTCGGTGCTGAGTGCGAAATTAATTCGGACTTCTATGGAGACATGGTCAGCTTACCCTTCTTGATATTTATCTCGTAAACATCCATCGCCGCAGGATCATTTATTCTGCTGGATTGAGCGATCATCTCGTTGGCCAACCATTCTGTCTTCAAATTGGCAGGTGCTGCTTCATCGAGTCTGTCGAAAGCCTTTTCACTTTCGGCAATGCAACTTTTTGCCTGCTTGTATTTACGGCAAAGGGTCCTTTTCATGCGGATCATCTTGCAGAAGTTGGAATTGTTCATCTGAAAATCGAGACATTCCTGTCGATGAGGGGACAACATTCCCCAAGCAGTGGGGGAAATTAGGTTCAGATGTGCCCAGAGAGTCTCTATGATCTCTCCATCTATCTGGCCAATGCCTTCAATGAAATTCGACACATATCAGACATAGCAGCTGTCTTGATATCCATGCATGTGCCACAAACCGATGCCAGGAATGATGGTCAATTCTGGTACCATTTCAAGAAATCGGCTTTGATCCACCCGAACCCAAAGGTGCTTGTTGTATTGACAGTTGATGTCATAAAAGGTGACAGCCCTGGTAATGCCTTCCATGTTGTGCTGGGCAGCCTTGCAAAGGGCGTAATCCATGTTCATTTGTCTGCAAACAATGCATGATCAACTCGTGAATGTAGAACTTCATGCTCGGCTTGCCTTTTGCCTTTCTGGAAATTGACCATTGCATGAGGCACAAAGCAGCCGTGGCAGGCACAAGCAACTCCCCCGATACCCGTCGACTTCAGCTTGTGCCGAGCCGCATTTGCTTGATTTACCACCCAGTGATTGTTGCAGCTAGATTTTTCCAAAGTGTCAGCAGCCTCCGCATGATGCGCTTTATACCTGTCCTTTCCCACCATGAACCCTAGCCCATCTGCAAGCCATACTTCATCAAATGGCTTGATGGGATGCAAGTGTTTGGCTTTGAAATTACCGTCCATCATAAATGACCGGGTATATTTCCAGCTTGGAGTTCTTATCATCACTTAGGTCACTTAAGTATAAAACTAGACTCACTCATCAAGTGTTTCATTCCCTGACAAGGATATGTTGATCCCAGGCTGAGGACATGTCGGGCAAAACAATGCGAGATCTCCAGCATTCGGGGTGTTGGAACGATGACCAAAGCCATGCCATTTCATGGTCTTCAACTGCACTGTCGAGCGACTCTCATGAGCTCTCTGTATCGGTCCTTGCCAAGTGCCTTGTCAATATAATGTCCTTTAGATGAAGGAGATATATAATTACCGGAACAAGGTGAGGAAACATGCTGGAGGTCATTCGCCAGAGCTTGCTGTAATAGTTCATTGGGGAGGTGCCGCATTCTAGGTTGTCCAATACAAAATTGTCGAGCACTCTGAAGGTGAACACAGTCTTCGGTTTGTTGAATGGATGCAGGGAAAATCCATGTCGAAACATTTGAATGTCCAGACTCATGGCATTTGGACAATCACAGCATCGAACCTCGAGGCGATGAACTCCAGACTTGTCGACAATGACCATGGTGTTTTCCTTAGGCTGGAACTCTGGTCCCGACACGGATGGTAGATCTTCAGGCTCAAGCTGGTCCTTGGGTTCATCTCCTTCGAACAAATCCCACCTATTTTCAAGTGCAGGACATCCTTTGCCATCATGACCAAGGTGTATGACGAGTCCGACATGAGCGAGACAACTTTGCTCGAAGAACTGACCATTCCATTGACTGATCCAGTGGAAAGGATTGCGACGATGTTGACTCCTGCAACATCCCGTGCAATAGAGTGGCTCCCCAAGACAATCTTGACATTTGTAGACCCCATCCTGATCACAGACGATGCATCTCCTATCTTCTGGAGGAGCTTCTCGATCCAGGAGGTGATGCAGATATGAGAGCCCCTTCAGTGACAAATTCCGTATTATATGGGTCACCCGACCTACATAATATCCCATATAAGACGGGTCAGCGGACTATGGGCCGATGTGATGTATATCCCCGATGTTAATGGATGGGCCGGGGGAAATATTATTTCCAATGGAGACGGGTGGGCCCATCTATGCCAATGTTATATATATGCTCGATGATGTCAGATGGGCTGGGATGAATATTTTTACCGATAGAGATGGGTGGGCCCATCTGGGGAATATGTACAGTAGGATGGACATGTATATTATAGACAGCTAGGCTGAAGGGAGATGAGAGGCAATCATTATTATATAGATGTGTGGGCCAATGTAAAGGTACATTGTATAGACGGGTGGGCCGATGTATAGGAATCATTTTGTAGACGGGTGGGCCGATGTAAAGGTACATTGTATAGCCAGGTGGGCTGAGGTCATTGTGAATTGTACAGACGGGTGGGCCGAGCGAGCAGTAAAACATTTATTATATCGACGGGTGGGCCAAGAGTGCAGGAAATTATTTATGATATAGACTGGTGGGCCGACGAGGTAATATATTACATAGATGGGTGGGCCAAGGTAGGGAGATATTGTGTAGACGTATAGGCCAAGGTATTGGTTTACTATATAGATATATAAAGCACTTGTCTGACATGCATGGATCACTGAGTCCCAACACCCGAAAATTGAATCCCATGGTACAACATCCATTTTTCAACGAGAAATCAGTGTCTCGAATTCCGGACGCCCGATGACCGGAAGCTCCAGACTGGACACTAGATACTTGCAGGAATGTGTGAAATATCGATGTCCTGAGACATATCACTGAGTGCTGTGAGCCGAACCGCAAAACTGAAAGTGTTACTACTGACTGATTGAATCACCTAGTGCCAAGTGCCGAAGCCTGAAACCCGAGCTGCGAAACCCGAGGCTGGAAGCGATACACAATATGGAATTTCTTACAAAATTCACCACGTGCCGATCCTAAAACCCTGGAATTCATCATTGACTTATTGATTCACCGAGTGCCGAGTGCCAAGGCCTGAAACCTGCAACTTGAAATGAGTGGAAGACTAAATGTTGCAAAATTGTTGACATGAAAGTGTTACTCCCAGAACACTGAAATCCAAAACTCAATGGTTGAATCACTGAGTACCGAGTACCGGGTACCAAGTGCCAAGTGCCAATGCCCGAAACCCGAAACCTGAGGCTCGAAACACAACACTGGATACAATACACCATATGGTATTTCTTACAAATTTCACGGAGGTCCCATTGCAAAACCACGAAACTTATCAGTGACTTATCGATTCACCAAGTGCCGAGACCCAAGACCCAAATGCCAAGTGCCAAGGCTCGAAGTTCGAAACATGAAATGAGCGGAAACGCACATTTCGCAAAATTGTTAACATGGAAATATTTGATTGTCTTCAACAGTTTGCCGGAAGTCCTTTGACAATCCCCGAGCCCAAAACCCAAAACCCGGAAAACCCATAATGAGTTCTATGGGTTTTCCGGGTTTTGGGTCTCAGGCTCGGGGATTGTCAAAGGACTTCCGGCAAACTGTTGAAGACAATCAAATATTTCCATGTTAATAATTTTGCGAAATGTGCGTTTCCACTCATTTCATGTTTCGAACTTCGAGCCTCGGCACTCGGCATTTGGGTCTCGGGTCTCAGCACTCAGTGAATCAATAAGTCACTGATAAGTTTCGTGGTTTTGCGATGGGACCTCCATGAAATTTGTAAGAAATACCATATGGTGTATTGTGTCCAGTGTTGTGTTTCGAGCCTCGGGTTTCGGGCATTGGCACTTGGCACTTGGCACTTGGTGAATCAATAAGTCAATGATAACAAAGGTAACATTGATTGAAAACATTGCATATACATTTATGACTATTTAATTATGTAGTCATGTCAACATCCTCACCAGAAGGTTCACCCTTCACTTGAACATCCATCTCTTCAACTGAATCATACTCTGGGAAAAGATTGCCCGGATCATCTGGTTTCACAATTTTGCCGGGCATCTGTGAAACCTCAGGATGAATTTGGTTGAGCTCAAATATGAGTCCGTCGATGGCAGACTCATCCTGGAGGTTGGGGGGGTTGGGCTCCATCCCTTCCATAGACAGGTCAATGAGACAGGAGTGATGGAAGAGACCTGAGATTGACTCTGCGTCTGGCCGGTGGTTTGTGAGGCGGCCGGAGCTTTGGAGGGAGCTTTGGAAGGGGTCCTGAATCTGGTCCTCCTGGTGGTCCAGGTGACGGATTGACCTCAAACACGTTTCAGCGGGGTTCCCATACTCACGGAGATGCACTTGATCTTCTTGGTGGTGCAGTAGATGCAGGACATGCATGGGGCGCCGGTCCTCTTGTCAAACCGAGTTGCACAGGGCCATTCCATCTTGTGGCAAGCCTGGCAAGGGTTGTTCTGTGTGAGACATCAGTTCATAGACACACCAAGTCTCAATGGTGTACTTATGGGTCTGGGAATGAGTATATCACCTGTATCGATGACTGGGGATGCCTCTACCGGAGGTTCGGGAGTTGCCTGAGCGGGCTCGATGACCTCCGGACATTTGCCGGCAATTGCCTAGCACATTGTAAGGACTCACCTGAGTGCCAGATGCAAAAGTGCGACTTACCGTAGCAGGCCCGAAGGGTTTCTTCTTTGGGCTCCGGGGTGACCGAGGTGATCCGGACGTCCTTGCAACATCTGGGGAGAGCCGGGGGAGGATGACCTGTGGAACCCCACACGAAATTGGCTACAAAATGAGCAAGACAATGAAACGATGAACCAGAGGACATACCTGAGTGACCAAGTCCTCCTCATCTTCTGACTCAACAAACACCTTGAATTTGGCAAGGCCGGTGGTCTTCGCCCGCTTCTGAGTCTTCATAGCGGACTTCGGGGGTTGGGAGGGAAGTGCCGGAATCATTGGAGACTTCCTCTTCCGACTCCCTTCCACTTCCGGTTCCAGGTCAGGGACAACTGCCTTACCTTTTCCCTTCTCCCAGGACTTGGAGGCAGGGTTGGTAGAAGGCCCGGCGATGACAGGCGAGGGTGGAAGATCCACAGGAATTGGATCTACTGAAGGACCGGACACAACCGGGAGATCAAAGGTGTGATCACCTAACTCCTCCCAGGCAAGAACCTTGCTGCACCAGGGGTGCATCAACAAATGGGTATCGTTGTACCCGATGCTGTGCCAGTTGGGCCAGACCTGAGGAGTCATGCCCCGAACACAAATTAACTCCCTTGAGCACAAACACACAAGACCCAGAAGGTAGGGACCACTCCCATATTGCCGGACCGCATCGGCCTACCTGGATGATGAAAAAAATGAAGTGGAGAAAATATGACAATGCTACATACCATGAGTGTACTGACCTGGGTTGTCAGAGAAAAGTGGCTGTGGCCCAGAGGAAGCTGCCAAGCGCTGGTGATGATGGCCATGATCTTGGCAGTGATTTCCTTGAGGCTGGTCAAAGAGGTGTCAACTGGAGCAGACATGGTATTTCAATTGAAAGTGTTGAAAGTGTTGAGATCAGGTAGAAATCAAGTTGTATTCAGGTTGAAATCAGTTATCACAAGGATGATGTTTCAGTAAAAACAAGATCAGTGATTAACAATGTAAAATTTCATTGATTGTTTGTCCTTGTTTGGTTGTGGTTCAACTTTCGGCAATCGCCGGCGCCTTGTGTTCAACTTCGAAGTTATCAATAATCAGTGAATCAGTTGATCAGTTCATCACAGAACATGAACTCCCCTGCTACAGTTAGATTCAATGACCCTCCGGTCACTGAATATAACTCAATGGATGTGGGTGAATCAACCGTGTCCCGGATGTCAACAGGTATGTTCAACATCCATCATACCTTATCAATTTACCGGACATCCTCAGATCAATTAAATCTTGGGCTGGCTGATGACCCAGAATCATGTTCTGTGTCATCCAATGGTCCGGAGTTCTTTTCTCAAATTTCTGGTGAGTTTATCAATTGATATGATGACAATCTAATCATCCATGGTCACTCAAATCTCACAGATCATTCACCTCCGGCTCAATGTGATCAACCAGGCCTCCCGGTTTACCCGGACCTATACCTCGGGCCTGAGGATGATCTGATGGCTGGGATGCATGGTGAGTATTATTTAAATCATCTAACAATGCATGTTGACACAAAAATCTTGCAGATCAGTCACATCCAGCCCAACCTGATATGCCGGGTCTAGCCATCCACCCGGATCTCTACCTCGGGCCTGATGAAGATATTATGACTGAGATCCCGGGTATGTCCATCCATTGAAATGAAAAGTCCGGCCATCCCTGGTTACTAAAGCCTGACAGATCCATCACCTTTGGCCCAACCTTATCACCCGGATGTACCCATCCACCCTGACCTGTACCTCGGGCCTGATGAAGATTTTATGCCAGAATTCCCCGGTCTGTCAATCAAAACATCTTACCATCCCTGTTCACTAAACCCTTACAGATAAATCTCTTCCGGCCCAACCTGATCAACCGGGTTCCCCCATTCACCCAGACATGTACTTAGGCCCTGAAGATGATCTGATCGACTGTGAGGTGAAGCTGGAGCATGCTGATTTGGATAGTGGGGTCTCAGGTGCGCCGGTAGTATCCAGGGCATGTAGGTTTCTCCCTACCATCCAGGCTTCCCTACTTAATTCATCTCCCAAGTGATTGCAAAATCTCCCGAACGTGATTTGCCACACCCGGATGTCACTTATGAAGAATTGCTTGCCATGGTCCGGGATCTCCGGCCATTTGAGTCTTACAATAACACGGGCAGTGAGTATCTGATATAATCATTTATCTTTCTGCTAATTTGTCTCTTAGTTCAATCCATTCAAGATCGGGTCTGGGATTACAAACAGCAACACAGACATATTCCCGACCCATCCATCCAACAACTACTCGAGGCTGAGAGACCATTCCAAACTGCCTGGGCAGAAACATCTGACAAACTCAGAAGAGCTGATGAAGACCTCCAGAGGCTGCAAAGAGCTGAATGTTTGACTTCCAAAATGCTCAAGGTATTAGATTCCCTCATTCTTAGGTTTGAAGATCAAATTCAAATGTAAATTACACAATTTCTGTTAGTAGACAAATTACCTGTGAACTTTTGAATGTTTATGAACCCACTCACGTCATGTAAACTACTTAATTATGGATGTATGGAACTCCCATTTCCGATTTATTCACTATCCGAGGACTACCGAGGCCGTGAACAAATCCCTATGTCGATGCATTCAACAATGTCCCGGATGTAGCAAGGATTGACTCATGATAGTGCGATGTGAGAAAGCCCTGACTATGGCCTTCTTCTCCTCGAGTTTTGTTTTGGTGATGTCCAGAAGCAACGGCATCCCATCCTCGTCAGTGTCGAGCTCAAAGGCTGGTTTTTGGATTCTCTTGCGACCTCCCTTCATCTGTTGGCCACCTTCCCGTGCTCCGGCACCTATCACAGAGACCATCAACACACCCCTCCTGGTATCAACAGTTTAAACACTCACCGAACTGTTCCTGGGCATACTCCTGCCACACTGGTTTGATGTCCTCCCAGTCATTTGTCTTCATGAAGCTGTCCCCATATTACAGCAAGCTCTGGCGAATGACCTCCAGCATGTTTCCTCACCTTGTTCCGGTAATTATATATCTCCTTCATCTAAAGGACATTATATTGACAAGGCACTTGGCAAGGACCGATACAGAGAGCTCATGAGAGTCGCTCGACAGTGCAGTTGAAGACCATGAAATGGCATGGCTTTGGTCATCGTTCCAACACCCCGAATGCTGGAGATCTCGCATTGTTTTGCCCGACATGTCCTCAGCCTGGGATCAACATATCCTTGTCAGGGAATGAAACACTTGATGAGTGAGTCTAGTTTTATACTTAAGTGACCTAAGTGATGATAAGAACTCCAAGCTGGAAATATACCCGGTCATTTATGATGGACGGTAATTTCAAAGCCAAACACTTGCATCCCATCAAGCCATTTGATGAAGTATGGCTTGCAGATGGGCTAGGGTTCATGGTGGGAAAGGACAGGTATAAAGCGCATCATGCGGAGGCTGCTGACACTTTGGAAAAATCTAGCTGCAACAATCACTGGGTGGTAAATCAAGCAAATGCGGCTCGGCACAAGCTGAAGTCGACGGGTATCGGGGGAGTTGCTTGTGCCTGCCACGGCTGCTTTGTGCCTCATGCAATGGTCAATTTCCAGAAAGGCAAAAGGCAAGCCGAGCATGAAGTTCTACATTCACGAGTTGATCATGCATTGTTTGCAGACAAATGAACATGGATTACGCCCTTTGCAAGGCTGCCCAGCACAACATGGAAGGCATTACCAGGGCTGTCACCTTTTATGACATCAACTGTCAATACAACAAGCACCTTTGGGTTCGGGTGGATCAAAGCCGATTTCTTGAAATGGTACCAGAATTGACCATCATTCCTGGCATCGGTTTGTGGCACATGCATGGATATCAAGACAGCTGCTATGTCTGATATGTGTCGAATTTCATTGAAGGCATTGGCCAGATAGATGGAGAGATCATGGAGACTCTCTGGGCACATCTGAACCTAATTTCCCCCACTGCTTGGGGAATGTTGTCCCCTCATCGACAGGAATGTCTCGATTTTCAGATGAACAATTCCAACTTCTGCAAGATGATCCGCATGAAAAGGACCCTTTGCCGTAAATACAAGCAGGCAAAAAGTTGCATTGCCGAAAGTGAAAAGGCTTTCGACAGACTCGATGAAGCAGCACCTGCCAATTTGAAGACAGAATTGGTTGGCCAACGAGATGATCGCTCAATCCAGCAGAATAAATGATCCTGCGGCGATGGATGTTTACGAGATAAATATCAAGAAGGGTAAGCTGACCATGTCTCCATAGAAGTCCGAATTAATTTCGCACTCAGCACCGAGCAAAAAGGAGATCGAACTTAGACTGCTAGAGCAGGGTAATGCCCGTAATGCAGCACCATCTCGGAGATCTGTGGCGACATGGATATCTATGGGGTTGGCAATCGAGGAGGCTCAAATTGCATTGCTCGTTGAGGTCTGAAGAATCGGAAAATGAACTATGGAGACACAGAGATTAGACCTCACCCGGCAACAAGATCGTCTCCAAGGCCAGATAGATGGATTCACGCGTTCTGCTGTCACGCATCTCGGAGAGGGATTCGATGGAGATGATAATCATGACGACTTGAACGTAGACATCCTAGATGATCTCGATGATGACCTGGAAGATTTTACCGAGACATCTGATACATGGATGAACTTGCCCAAGCTCATTGTGATCCCATTGCCATCAAACCTCGGGGTAGATCGATGCAGATGCTTGATGGCAGAGGATCTCATTCCGCTGGAGATGTCCCTTCGCAAAGGGCAGGCAAATGATGCACTTCACAATCTCCACATTCACTTGTGCAACAAGGCAGTCCTATTCCGAACGACGGTCAGGCAAGCCAAATCTCAAGCCCTGAAAACTCGAGCCTGGTCGCAGGTGATGTCAGTGCAGCAGGCTGTCTCCCTGCATGTGAGTATATATACCAAGACCAGGACGCAAATGATGAAACTTGACACGGGGCATGGCCAACTTCAGAAGTACAAACCCCTGCTTCGTGAGCAGCTCAAAGTCAACACTGCCGTGGGTGATCCGAATGCCCGTGGTCAACAAAATGAATCCCTGGTTCTGGTCCATCGAGGTTGACATGCATGGTCCGGATCAATCATGGAATGAGGAATGTGAGTTCCCTAATGCTCAACACATCCGACGTTGAGCTGACTGGATGAATATGAAGTTTACCGAGTTCACTGGCTCCGGGCAAAGGCACTACGGGATCGATGGAAGGAAGAGCTGATGTTGGTCCAATTCGAGATGGATTGGACATGTAACTTTTTCTTGTGGAAAGCAACCCAATGGGGCGACCGGATGCAGGAATCATTCACGAAACGACTTCCAGGTCATGCATGCTACTCCGGAAGGCAATCCCGAATGTATTCATTGCTGGCGCAGGATGCCCAGGCAGCATTTCAACACCTGCAGACCATTTTGATAGATTCCCGAGATGAATGAATGGTTTATTGCCGATGGGATATAACAACCATTTCGATATACAAATTTAGTCCCGGGAATTGGCCGGGTCAGCCCATGTCAGAGTTTGAAAAATTTATCCATCCATCAGTGGATGATATCTTCACATCTGAACCAACCGTCATTGTCATTGCCAGTGTGATACTCCTGCATCAGCCATGCCTGAGTTACATCCTTCTCCTGCATCCACTTCTGACAATCAGAATTCCCTCAATGAGTACCAGCCCCTCACTCTCACTCCTGCAGACATTTCAACTACTATGTCGATGTCTGCATCGCGCATCCGTGCATCCATCTCCCAATATCAGGTGGAGGCTGCAAACAACAATCTTCCCCCTTTGGCTTAGATCAGGCACTTCAAAGCCAGGCTGCAATGGGAGATCACTGTAAGACCCTGATGACACTGGCGGTTAATGCTGACATCTTCCACAGACTTTTGTCATGCCCATCCTCCAGTACTCAGCTACCAGGAACATCATCTCGGTCGTTCCCAGCCCTATTGCTCATATTCTTTATTTGATTCCCGGTCACACCTGGAACATGGTTCCAGATCACATCTTTTCCTATCACATCTGTTTGTTTCATGATGTCGCAGATCCCGGAGATCCATCCTGGATCATATCCAGCTATGATACCCCATGGTGGATGGGAGAAACTGCAATTCCGAACGAACCATGGCAATGGGATCGGGTGATGACTTGCTGTATCTTTCACTACCAGCATTGGCTAGTAAGATTCTTATTCCATTTCCTTGATTCATGACTGATCTGCTCTAGGATGGCATTGAGAATGATGGTCTGACAATTCCGGAGCAGGTGGATCATACCTCAGTTCCATCACTGATGGGACTGAGGTGGATTAGAGAACACCTCCTGACATTACTTGAAGAGCAACGTGAGGGCATCCGTGACAAGATGGCAGAGATACAAATCTACACTGCCATGCTGGACAGATTGAAGAGAGGCAGAGGAGAGTAGCTCTAGTCACTCAGTTGGAAATGTTAAAGTGCAAGTTGCATATGTGTTTTATGAGTACTGAAAATCGCATGTAAACATTGCAATATCTAACATGATGTTATATGGCGAGTCCCAAAATAAACGGTGCAGATGTGCATCACCATGTCCTGACCACCAAGGTCCAGATATCAAGTCCCGATTACCAGGACCCCATTACCGAACTCCGAATATTGAGTTTCGAGTTCTGAACATTGAGTACCGAGTGTCGAGTACCGAATGCCGACTGCCGAATATCGAACTCCAAGTTCCAGATATTGAGTCCCGATTACCCAGTTCCGAAACATCGAGTACCAAATGTTTACTGCCGAATATCGAACTCCGAGTTCCGGATTCCCCATTACCAATTCCCGACTCCCAGAACATAACTACCAAGGTCTGAGTATCAACACCCGAGTGCCGAGACCCGATTACTGAGCTCCAAATATCGAGTTCTGAGGTCCAAGCATCGAGTACTGAATGTTGACTGCCGAATATCGAACTTTGAGTTCCAGATCTCCATTACCAATTCCCGACTCCCGGCATTTAACTACCGAGGTCCAAATATCAAGACCCAAGTGCTGAGACCTGGTTACCGAGCTCCTGGCCTTGATGACTGTCGATAGGATCTGAGTCTAAATACAATGATAGCCATCGCCCCAGTACCATTTTCAAATTTGTACAGCAGCATTCATACTTACATTTCTTTGCTTCTCTGTGCCCTTTTGACTTGTAGGTTCCTTTTGCAACAGACCGTTCTTCTTAGCATTGCCTAGCGTAAGGTCAATGATATTGTCTGTGCTACTCCAACCCAGGGCCGGCCTTTTGTAACTGCGCACCACAACTGAAACCCCACTCCCTCACGCTGAATGTGTTGGTTCTCGAGTGTCATCAAGAGACATGGAAGGCTCTGGACAGTTATTGTATGCATCCGCTATGGATTTCGGACCTTGAGTGTCATCAAGAGAGATGGTTCGTACTTGGTAGTCGAAAGCAGGTACTGATGCGGGTAATTACACTTTCTACTTGTTTCATCTTCCACATGGTGGTAGGGTTCGTCAATACACCCTAGCCCATCCGCATGAGGGAACCCCGGCATAAATATGAACAGAGTCCCTCATATACCATGCCCACCCAACCCTATCCCCCTCCATCTCATGAACCCCATGTCTGACAATCCTTCCGGAAAATCCAATCATACACCCGGGATTGTACCCGAACTCCAGCTGAAGGCTTGGCATGCTCATCCGAGCATTAGAATAATTCCCCACGGTGGTGAGAATATTGAAGCATTCAGGAATTGATAAATGGTCTCGATGATATGGGGTTTGACATTGGAAATGATGGATAGCGTGTTAAACACAGATGCCCAGTACTCCAGGATCTTGGACATTCTTGGCAGTTCCTTGCTTTCTGCCTTTTCTCCGAGGCTTGAAAATGTTTGTAACCCTGCCCAGTACTGCTCCGGATGCATGATCCTGAGCGCTGCTGATGCGATGGCTGCCGGCCTTGCAATGGCGTTTAGGATTCCCTCGGACAATGGTCCCTTTAATGATGCAGATACCTCCGGGTCCGCTAGATTCTATGGGATTGGTGTGCTCAACTACCGAAATCATCATCCTATCAAATCTTACCTCGTGCCCCTGTTGAAACCATGCCGGAGATAAATTAATGCACCCGGCAGGTAGGCCAACATCTTCCAAGTGGTGTTTGAACCACTCCGGATTGGTTCGCCAATTCCCATCAACCTTCACACTTCTTTCCAGACTCGGAGACAGCAAGTCGGTGGCTGCCCAAATTTCCTTCTGTGGTTACCATTTGGTATTTAATATATATTGAGTAACAATGTATATCACACATGGAGATCAATTTGCTATATCTTGCAATGTTGATGTTCATCTGAACTGTGATGAAGGAGTTTGAATGATCAAATGAATTTTCCGAATCTGCAGGAAGACCCACTCAGATTTTTATATGCCTTTATGAGGCGATCTACCAATCGATCGCAGGCCATTACTAGATCAGTGTCTAGGTTAGGAGAAGGTATCACTGGGTCTCCTCCTGTCTTCTCTGCATTGAATTTCTGTGCAGTATATTCACATGCCTCGTGAGTCACTGTCAGGGCCCAAGTGCGCCAGAGGCTTATTTCAATTGCAGAAGTGGAAGAACCATTCATGATGAAGTCGATCTTGGGAAATCAGAAGCTGAATGCTGGTCGCCCAGAGGTTGGTGTTAAAGGGGGTGGAGATAGTCAGGATCAGATAAGGGAGCCAAAATACCAGATCATTGGAAGTGTGCTGGATATCAGATATTCGTTTGTCGACTCCCGGGGCTCGGATCTTGGCACGCTTCACTCAAATTTCGGTAGTCGGAACTTGGCATTTGGCGTTCGGTAGGTGGTGAACATGAGGTTCTGATAAGAGAACCTTCCATGATGTTGGCTGTCGAAGATATATTACCACCCATTGCTCAATGAAATACCCGATCATTGGAAGTGTGCTGGATATCAGATATTTGTTTATTGACACCCGGGTCTCGGAACTTGGTACACTTCACTCGAATTTTGGTAGTCGGAACCTTGCTTCTCATACAGCAATGCAACAGTAATGAACATGCAGCTGCAGGAACTCATTACGCTTCACCCAAATTAGCTACTCAGCAATCGGTACTGCATTGTTTTACAATTATCATTCACCTGTGCCCACCTGTCTATATTATATACCGCCCTCGGCCCACCCATCTAATATAATATATCCCTGGGCCCACCCGTCTATCTGATACCCACCTTCCTTGACACTCGGCCCACCCATCTAAGATAATATATATCTGGGCCCACCCGTGTATGTGACACAATGTACCCTCAACCGGCCCACCCGTCTATCTGATACCCACCTTCCTTGACACTCGGCCCACCCATCTAAGATAATATATATCTGGGCCCACCCGTGTATGTGACACAATGTACCCTCAACCGGCCCACCCGTCTATCTGATACCCACCTTCCTTGACACTCGGCCCACCCATCTAAGATAATATATATCTGGGCCCACCCGTGTATGTGACACAATGTACCCTCGGCCGGCCCACCCATCTAATATAGTATATATCTGGGCCCACTCGTGTATGTGATGACAAGTACCCTCGGCATACCCGTCTCTCTGATACCCACCTACCTTGGTACACCCATCTACATAATATCCAACTACCTCGGCCCATCCGTCTATAGAATATTCATGTCCATCGGCCCACCCATCTACTCTACATATTCCACACATGGGCCCACCCACCTCCATCGAAAATAATATCCCTCCCAGCACATCCATCAACATCGAGGATATACATCACATCGGCCCATCATCCGCTGGCCCGTCTTATACGGGATATTATGTAGGTCGGGTGACCTGTATAATACGGAAATATGTCACTGTAATATGTGTCGGCACATCATACAATGGCAGTTCCAAGTATTCATGTGTTGGCATTGGAATTTGGCCCGGGCAACTTCCAGATGGCTAACCTGGGTCCTAAACAAACTTGTGATGTAAAAATACCAATTTGTTAGGTCAGGCTGCTTAAGCAAGGTCCCTGTCATTGCAAGCAGCTTTGTGAGAGTGGGATTATGTGGAGATTAGCTGATAATTGCAAGAATCTGTCTGGTAAGCTCTGAATGTTCTGTCCTTGAAAGCCTGATGTCTCACTTCATTATATTTGAACCTCCATCCAAGTCAGCTCTCACACTTCTCGTTCTGTCATTGTTTTGTTTTCAGTTCCTCATAAGTCATTGGTCCCTAGATCTCTCTTCCCGTTTCCTTGCCGTCCAACAGAGTGCAATGTTCCTTTCGAAAGTACCGTGTTGTATTGTTTCTCGCAGTGGGCTCTGCTTGTGATTCTGGATACTTCACAGAGTCTACAGTCTCTACACGGATGTGGGTTGACACCTTCCTTCTTGTGCAGAGCTGCAGACTCGGTCTCTATCTTGCCCTAAACTTGGGAGGACAAAATGGGGCGCAAACCAGCGACCTTGCATTGTCTATGAAGTCCCTCAGCCATTATTTGTTACAAGAACATCTAGACGCTTGGGCCCCTACCATTTTTCTCCTAATCCTCCTCGTATCAGCCCTCGCATCATACCCTTACCCCGACCTTACCCTTGTCATCCTCGTCATCCTTGCATTCCCATTTGCTCTCTACCTGTCGCTTCAGCAGAGCCAGTACATCTGGCCGGATCCTTTCACTGACGAAGCATATCCATGCTCTGTTCCACCACCTGACTGATCCTGTGGACAGTCCTCTTGCCCTTACCGTCTGGACGGTAACCTATGAGATGATGCATGATGCATCCCCTTTGCCCTCTTCCCTTTCCTGATCTCTGACTCAGTGCGCAGTCGCACATGCAACCTATAGATAGCTCCGCAGCTGCACGATCGTGCCTCTGCGCGTTTCACTTCTTATTTCGACTTTTGACTCACTTTCTTATCCAGCACGTTCTGCCTCGCCCGTGTCTCAACGCGAATGTGCTTTCCTTTTATGGTTACACCCTTTACCGATTACTTCTCTTGGTAGTACGAGTTATCACCCACTAATACTTCTCTTGTCCTCTATATAAACTCGCTACCATGTACTATATTCCCTAGCTTGAATCTACTTGGTTCTTGACCTCCTACTCTCACCAGGGTGATCCTTCTGCCTAGCCAGCAGTCTATATTCTATCTTCTTATCTGCTCCTTGCGGATAAGCCTATAGTCTCGATCTTTACTCATCAACTTCGTCGACGAGCAAAGCCCCTGTTAACTAGTCGGACTTCTGTCCTTCTAATTAACGACAATCTTACGATCAACCTTCGGGTGTCGTAAGCCTAGGCTGATATAGCTTATTGTCTCGCACCCGCTTGACATAAGCTACCCGATTTGGACATAGGCGTTAAATCTTACTTGCCGAAGCTTCGCCAAGTAAGACCCCTAACCTTGGGCTAGCCCAAGGACGTC